TTATGGGTGCCAACCACGTCTGTGAGGTGGACAATTGTTCTGAAAGTGATCGTGAAAATACTCAAGCTGCCTTTTAAATTGGATTTTAAAAGAATTATGTGTACCGAAATTTGATTTTAGTGAACTATTATATTTATTGTTACAAATTAAAATTAAAATATTAGTATTTAATAAGACAATCGGTTATTTTTTTTTGGTTGCTGTTCTGCAAAGGTCCATACTGATGGCAGTGCAGTCATCTTTGGACAGTTCTTATTACAACTAAGGAAGCTTATTTTGAGCAAAATATTTGTTTTACGACTATAACTAAACAGACATATATTGACAGTTGTTAATTATAATCAAAAAAAAAATTAGATATTTTGATAAAAATTTTGTTCAAATTCAGCGTGTCACTTTAAATTGTGTTATGTAAGATGTAGCCAAGTGCAATCAACCACCAAATATTTACATATATATAAATATATTTATTCAATTTCTGAAGTAAGAAAATTTAATGTTTCTCCAAAAAGTAAACATATAAAATATCTGAAGCTGAAATTTTCATCAAAAGGAAAGATGTCAAAATATTTTTACGAGAGATTTATGATTTTGTGTGTTTACAACATTTCATCAGTACTTGTGATTGAATGATATATAACAGTTTGTTTATTTTGGATGCCTTCTATACTGGATACCATGAAAGATAAACAAATATTTCATTCCAGCCAACATTTTAAAGGTATGCTTTTATTTATTAGTTAAATCATGAGAGTACCCTTTAGGGTTGTCAAAATAATCCACAAAAGTTCTTCCACAATACATATTGCAGTGCGAAGTTTAGCATATCCATAATTTCACTCTGCTTTCACTTTATATTCAAACAGACCATTTGATATTATTTGGCGGGTTGGATGGCCGAATGGTTTGCCTGTGCGCGCTGTATCATAAGGCCTGTCATTGAGTCAACTGGTGGGGTTTTGAATCCCTGGTTGTACATGACAAGAAGTAGGGTCGCCTGCCCAACCTCGTGGGTTTTCTCCGGGTCCTCTGGTTACCTCCCCCTGCTAAACCCCCTACGCACAAGCGAATTCTTGAAATAAAATTAAAAACCATATGTTAGTCCCAAAATGACCTAGTTTGTGTCGAGTGGACGTTAAACCCCATTTCTCTCTCTCTCTCAAATATAATGCTATGGTGATAGGAGATAATGCCCTTAAATATAATGCTATGAAGGTGAGACAATACCCTCAAATATAATGCTATATTGATAGGACCTAATGGCCTAAAATACAGTGTTATGTTGATAAGACCTAACTACTTCTGTCTTTTGATAATTTGTAAATTAAAAGTTATACACACTTTTTTGTAATTAAAGAGAACAGCTTGATACAATTGAAAGAGATGGGGATGTTTATAAAACAATTAACAAGAAAGTTGGCATTGATTTTAAGTGCAAGTAATCTGATAAAGAGAGTAAAAACATGGACACTTATCTTTTATCACTTATAATGAACAATTACACTACATAAACCAGGTTGATTAAAAATATAGCCTTATTATAGTATCACATTACCATTCCTTAAAACAGATTGGTGGTGATGATATAAAGGGGAGGTGGGTGGATCCTTGATGTAAAACCGATGGAACTGGTAGGGAGCAGGGGGTTTGAGTGATCCAATTCATAAGACCTGGTATATGTGCATGCCATATGTTAAATTGATAGCAGAGTAGGGTAGTAAATAAGGTCATGTTGATTGTTTTAAATTCTCTAAATTTAAATAAACCATTTAGTCCAAAATTGAATGGGTTAGTGTCTAATCTCTATCTCTGAATTAGAATGTGACTGTCTACTTAATCTAGATTAAAATTGTGAATAAAATTAAATTTCTAATATATAATGGTACATGTGTATCCTTATTAAATTGTTTTTGAGAGATCAGTGCTTCAAAAACTATCTGAATTTTCAAAATAAAGGAGAATCAGGTTATGCTAGACAAAACTATAGTATGGATATTTGTGGTATGCAATTAATAACATTTATCTGTTAACCTTAAAGGAGAAGTTCAGTCTTCGCAGTTTATTTATTTTTATTTTTTATTGTCTGTAGTGTTGAACTCGTTTCAACCATGCTAAATCTGAAATAGAAATTGATTTGTCTTTCATTAAGAAATTAATGTGCCAACTGTATCAGGGTAGTTGTTGTCCATTGTAAAGCTGTGACCATGTGCTATATTAGTCCTGGATTCAGCCACTGTCTGCGTATAAGGAGAGTGATGGTTATTGTACTTGGATATGGTCATATCTTTATTTTGTTAATTAAAGTTAAATGTTACCCAGATATGGTTATATCCCACTTCTTAATTTGTTAATTAAAAGGGGATGATTTGTGGATAATGTATAAAAAATCTGCAATGACTGGATTTCCCCCTTAATATATTTTATCAAATAGTATATTTTTCTTAACATTTTGAAGCTTTTTATATTCATGTATATGAATATTCTAGTATAGTTATTGATATATTTGAAGACATTTTTTATTGTGGAACACCCTAAGTTCATTTTGTTTCAGTTCAACATGTCTCTTTTATTAATGGCTGTTTTCATTATTTATTTTAATAAGATAATTAATGTATACTTAAATAATTAGACCACTCTGTGTTGACTCAAACCTAAATAACTACAGTTCATACTGAGATAAGGCAATATTCGGAAATGAAAATAATGTTGGTTCACATGTCCTAATGATGCACACTAATGAACTAGTAGGTCTACCTGACATTTTGAAATATCATTAAAAACACTGATACACATTATAGTAACTGTGCCAGACAGAATGAAGACACTAGAGGGATTGTGCCCGACAAAGCCTGAATGTGCTTCTGACAGGCGGGTGGGGTGGCTGAATGGATAACGCGTGCACGTTGGATCAGAAAGTTCTGCCATTGAGTCAAGTGGTGTGCTTACGATTCTCTGCTTGTACGTGACAAGGAATAGGGTCGCCTATCCCACCTCAGGGGTTTTCTCCGGGTCCTCCAGTTTTCTGAAACTGTTAAAAACATTTACGTGCAAATGAATTATTGAAATAAAATTGAACCATGTGTTAGTCACAGAATGACCTAGTTTGTGTGTGTGTGTGTGTGTGTGTCTCTCTCTCTCTCTCTCTCTCTCTCTCTCCTGACCTGCATTATTTCCAGGTGCAACTCTAAATGTTATAAAGTAACAGATAGTTAATTATGTAAAGATACATTATGTAAGATTTAGATAAAGAGCTGAAAGTTCTCTCTATATAATAGTTTCAAAATAGATAATGAAGAGGAATATATTGAAAATTTCAGTCAAATTACTTAATTCTGAGCAAATTTTGAAGTTTTGATAAGAATAGCATCTTCCCAATGGTCTAGAGAGTTGATTATAGCCGTGTCATGTGAATAAATGTCTACATGTAATTAATCGTATCTAAAAATACACCTGCAACAGGCAGATTTAGTTCTTACATAATGGATCTTTAATGAAAATACTTGTCTGAAATGTTTTAGGTTTAAATTTTTTGTTTTATCGATAAATGATTTGTTTAGTCTATTACCTTGTTCTGGCTTTGTCTTCAAATGAGGTGTATTTTGACTGTCAATGCTTTGTAGGTGATCAGGTCTATCTCTCTCTGTTTCTGTTTCTGTTCATTAATACGTATACCAGAGTATATAAACTGTGAAGATCTGATTATCTTCTTAAAGGAAAGAATGTATATTTATTGTCTCTAGCTGAAACTTACACCTATTATTGATTAACAGAACACAGTTTTTATGGGATACAATCACTAGTTTATTCTAAAAGCACGACGTTTCGACAAGTGATTGTATCCCATAAAAACTGTGTTCTGTTAATTTGTTCCCTGATCGCTAAATGCCACTTAAAGAATAGAATACCTATTATTGATGTCGTCATGCCAAGGTTATTGTCAGTCAATTTTATACACTGTATCCTCATTGAAATATGATCCTCCTATATTGTCATCACCCATGTCAGTCTGTCTTGAAAAATTTCTTGTGAATACTTATAGATGACATATATCATCCAACATTTAATTTTATATATTTGTTTACACCGGTGAAATAAAGAAGCATGTTGTATTTCAACAAGTTCTTGTATTTCAACAAGTTTAACAACTTTATAGATGACATTATCATCTAACATTTTAATTTTGTATATTTGTTTTCACTAGCAAAATGAAAAAGCATGTTGTATTTCAGCAATTTCGAATGATAATAACTAACAGAGTTATGTTCTTTGATTACTTTCCAAAATCTTGTGAACGCTCTATCAACAAGAGTTATCATCTGATCTGCTTGACATTTCTATACATTGTTCAGACTCATAAAACCACAGAATCCTATTGAATTCCAACATTTTTGATAGTTACTTATTGAGTTATTATCATAGACATGATATCAACCCAATGATAAAACAGTAGAATGGAGATTTTGCTCTGAAGGATTCACAGTGTGACAAGCTTTTTTGGACTTCTTGGTTGACTCAACTGCTGTACACATGTGTTCAGTTGCCTGGCAACTGATCTTTTGTACACTTAGAAAGTCTATAAATAGATCTAAAGCCAAATCATATTTTGATGCATTCCCCTTAAGACACAATTTAGAATTCATGGTTTTAAAATAATGTTGAGTGGTTTTCAAATGACTCCAAGGGAAACTATAAATTGATCTGTTAGTATTATTAACTAACAGCTAAATTAATCAAGTAATTGACACTGAAACATCACAATTGCGCAGTTGGTCTATATGTTGGACAATATCACATTGTGAATAATATATATAGGTTTAGTCTCTGGTGTAAATTTAGTTAGTACAGTATTAGCATCTTATCAAAAACAAGTTGTTTACCTTACCAATCCCAGTCCAGTAAATCATAATACAGACCAGACTTCCAATCAAAACATTTCCTTTTTAATCATATATGACTTCCAGTAAATTGTGTCATTAATTTTGTGTTCATTTGTGTTTCAGATTGGAGAATCTATTTTAAGACTGTGTTTACTGGAATTATTTGAATTCCGTTTTATGCAAACAGATCCCAATTGGTCTAATTTTTTATATGATCCGGAAAAAGACAAGGTAAAGATAGAATTTATTTTTAGCCAACTACACGCATACTAATTAGTGTTATTTTAATAATGATTGCTGAAGGCAGTGCCAATAGAAATATTAACTTCCCTACAATTATTAATCTTTATCACCCAATACCACATTCTACAGTAGATATCGCTTATGTGATAAATTTCATAATCTACTGCGATATCTCCTTTGGAGATATTGCTTTACATGAATTTGATTGGTCAATTAAAAAGGAACTATTTTTTTTTATTTTCAAAGAACAATTCATTTTTTTTTAAAAGTAACTTCTTTTTTATTAAAAAGGAACTATTTTTATTTAATTGACCTTGATGGAAACACTGGGTCTATATAAAGGACTTTGCAATTTTTGAATTGCTGTCAAAAAATGATGTATCACTACACCGTAATGTAATCAGGTTCAATAAAAGTGAAATCTATAGCAAAGAATTATATTTATTTATTTGTGCATGTAAGAAAGGATTGGATGATAAATAAAATCTCCTACTCGGCAAAGCCTTGGGTTTTTTTTTACTTTATCGACTTGTGTTGATATTTTTTGATATCAAAAAAAGACTCGTAGGAGATTCTCTATTTAACAGTTACCTCTGTAGCTGATAATCAACTTCTTAAATATTAGGGTAAAAGTTTCTACACTTAACCCTTCTGTTCCCTTTATTTAGTTTTTAACTTTTTTTTTTAAAAATCAGTTAACGGTCCAATGCATCATTTAGCTCTACAGGAATCCCTTGCAAACAACAATATTGTGAAAGTTGAACCTCTAAAAGGAATATCAGTCCCAAAATAATCTGTTAAAGGCCCAATGTGTCATTTAGCGCTTTAGGAATTCCTTGCTAACTACAATATTGTGAAGGTTGGATCTCTAATAGCGATATCTGTCCCAATATGGTTCAATTCCTTTCAATATTTTCAAAGTTATGTTAAATTGAAATTTCATCAATATGGTAACGGAGATGGGATTAGTTTAAATCTGATTGAATCCAAGCCGGGAGATTATCTAACGTTGGTATTTTGATTTTGTTTTCTTAATTAAATTTTTAAATAATCAATCTGAGTACATATTTAGAGTGTATTAAGCCCAGAGAAATTAGATATTTTAGCGAAAATGCAAATGGTGCATTGAGACTTTAATTTGGCAACTTGTAGTTAGGAAATTGTATTTTATTAGGACTACCAGTACTTTAATACATTTAACAAATCTTGTTAGTAAAGTATTGTGTGTGTGTGAAATAGCTTTATTTAACGTCTGCTTCCACTGAAGTAATGCACTAGTAATGCACCTCATATACCATGGTTATTTGCAATGCAGTCCTTTCATTGGCTGACTCACTATGCTTTCCAGTCAATCAGCAAAAATGCAAGGATTAAATCAAGGGAGTTCAGGTTACCTATGTATTCAGAAGATTCTGATCAATAGACTTCTGAGTTCTGTGTCTCAAATTTGATAATAATGATAGTCATTGCTACTTCATTGACAAAAAAGTTCTAACATTCTGTCTTTCAAAGTGCCAAAGTGGTGACATCTCTTAGTAAGATGAAATTAGCTAAATCTTTAACTCAATATAATCCAAAGTTGTGATCTTACCTGGAAAAGATGGGCTTCTGATATCCAATATTTAAGACAAAATAAACATTTTACCATTGGACACTTTACCATTGGTACACGAATCGTGTACCATAGTGCATTTCAGCGTCATCTGTAAAAAGTGACCAGAAAGAACGAGGCAAGACATATTCCACAACTCATGTCAAACGGTGACGCCATATCTTATCTGGAGAGCATGCGCCATAGACTGGAATAACCAGGTGCTAGAAATTGCTATTCAGTTGAGACATGCCATATTTCACTGGACATAACTGATTTGGAATTAGAGTCCAAACGGGAATAATTGAATGTAAATCAGTTTATATACAATCAGATTACATTATTATATGCGTTGCGACCCATTTGGGTCAATTTCTAAGTCCCAAATATTAGCGATTTAGCTCCTTTAACTAATGTATCTTTAAGATTTCTGAATCCACACCATGTAATGACCATGTTGTTGTTATTTTCAGTTAGTATTATTAGATTTTGGAGCTAGTAGAGAATTTGATAAGGTATTTGTTGATCGGTATATACGTGTTATAAAATCAGCAGCTGAAGGTGATAGAGAGGGTATCCTATCAGGTTCAAAGACACTTGGTTTCTTAACAGGATATGAAACAAAGGTACGTTAACAAAATTTGAATATTCTGTCCACCTTTTTTGAATTGTCATCCTTGTCAGAAATAATTACCATTTAAAAGACTTTTTCTCAAGAGCAATATTTAAGACTTCCAAAAAGATTTGACCAGTCATTCTGACAGGATTTATAGTCAGACCTCAGTTTTGGGGGAAAATATATCTGGATCGCACGACTTTGCAACCGATCTCCATGCACTTTCCTTTGAACACAACACTCTATAGACTACATTTTTCATCAGATTTTAAAAACTTATTTTAATTTTAAATTTGAATTTGTAGATTCTTGTGAATGTGCTAATGAAAAAAATTTATATGCATTGTTCATGACTGAATCAAATATAATAGAGTTTCAACAATTTCCATAAATTAAAGAGTTTTTCACTTCGTAGAATCACAGAGCAACAACAGTTATCCTGTGATCTGTGTTTTGACCCTTGTTCACTTTTTGAAATTGTGTTAACGCTCAATCAACAAAACTTATCATCAATGTTATATCAATCTTATAGGTTATGGAAGAAGCACATATTGATGCTGTCATGATATTAGGAGAAGCTTTCTCTCACAATGAAGAATTTGACTTTACAACACAGAGTACAACTGGTCGAATACAGAATCTGATTCCCATTATGTTAAAACACAGACTATCACCTCCACCAGAAGAAACTTATTCTTTACATCGTAAAATGTCTGGAGCTTTCTTACTGTGTGCTAAATTAGGATGTCGAGTAAGATGTAAAGATTTATTTGAAAATGTCTGGGACAATTATACCTTTGGTGATGAAACAGAAGTGTGATAATAAAATATATTAAGACATGTAGACTGAAACTGATATTAATAACAAGATTAAAACAATATTGGGATGATGTGTATATGACAATTTATGTGAGGTTAAAAAAATAACAGTAGACTAGAAATATATGCAGAGGTAATTAATAAAATCATGACAAACCCTGAAGGTGGAACATTTGAAAGATGATAGCATTTTGGTCTGTTGATAATTACACTATAGTCTGTCCCTAATTAAAATGCAAATTTTTGCGGTTCCTCGCCTTTCCGAGTAAAGGGACAATTAAATTGGGTTCGTTTGTGTATCATCCTGTCTGTCATCGCACCTTTTGGAACACGATAAATCTGCTTCTGATTGAGATAGAATGTTAAATCAGGTAAATGTCTTAACCGAGTTCAATGCTGACCATTTTCTACTTTGGCTAAGCAGATACTACCCCAGATACAATAACTTTTATTTGTTAAGTGGTCCGGTCAGGACATCCCGTACAAACTGCCTGAATCTTTCAAGTATTTTTTTTTAAAGAAATACAAACTTACAATTCCATGTTATCTCCTCGTGTCTAGTAAATAAATTACTTAACCACAGCAAAAGCATTTAACTATTACATGTAAAAGGGAGACGATTCTTGGTCAAGTATACGGTTGCAGACCACCATTAAATTTCACCATGTGCTTACCCACCAATGAAGTTCCTTAAAATACTCATCTTTCTCTCTGTCTAAACTTTTCACCTTTAGCATGGCCATTTTTGTTGATTTTTTGGTCTAGAATCAAAGAAAATTGTTTGGGGGATAGTTACCGGTACATGATTATAATATGCTACTTCAGGTTTGTGTATCTCAGAATTTTACTGGTCAACCTGATGCAAACTTTTGTTGCTCTGTCTTTAGTGAAAAGCGTTCAGTCCTACGAAAATATGGGAAAAGTTAGATGTTGGGAAATAGACCCCAATTAAAATTAAAGTCAATGGGGAAAGTAATGGTGCTCTGAATCCATGTTATTGAATATTATGTTGAGCATAATATAGTTAAGTTTTCTATTATTACATGTATAAAGGGAGATGACTCTTGTTTCAGTATACCATAGAATATGTATGTGTGTTAATATATATTTATTGTTTATAGTATATAAGAATATAGTAAATAGTGCTGAAACTGTAAAAATTATAAATTGATTAAATAGTTTCTCACTATAAACTTGGTTGGTTAATATTAGATAGAGAAATAGTCTTAAGTTAACCATATTGTTATGTGTAACACCAGAATTCTAAGATTTCTTAATTCTACTTCTTAAACAAAACATTCCTTCCTTATACCCTTAAAGTAGTCGAACACTGATTTATTGCATCTGCAACACACAATTAAAATCCATATCTTAAAGAAACCCAATATTGTAAGTGTGTGCTCATGGGATGGGGGACTCACTGACTATGGGTATGCCAAGACTGTGGCCAATAAAGAAGTTGAAAATGTATTTGTGTGATTCTTTGATCTAAGAACAACCCTTTTATGATTCTTAATAGAGTTTTTGGATCCCAGTGTGGCCATCCCAGTATGAATAATCAAGCCCTTATATTAACAAGGGTAACACTTAGTGGGGATGACAAGGACAGTGTGTCTTGTCTTTCGAAAATAACTAGACTATATTTACAGTCATGAAATGTATGATAGCTACTCTTGTTTATAGTACTGTGAAACGCCCTGAGGGTGTTTGGGTTTCATTTTTCATAGTCATTCCATTAACAGATTGTGTCACTATCACCAAAGACGTAGGCTATATAAGGGAAAATGGAATATTTTGACGCTGGTGAGTTCTATATTGTGTTCAGGTGTAGGACTCTATACCAGGTATCATTTCTGTAGACCGATACTTTTATATATGACATCAAGGTATATTTTTAAAGAGACAGTGTATTCTTCTCAATTCACAAGATCATTGGATCACCCTTATGTTTGCTTAGGCCAACTTTCTTTACCAGGGAATTTCACATAACATGTAATACAACTAACAATTTAGAAATGAATATAGAAAGAACCAGTTTATTGATTAGAACTGATTAACGACCAGAACATATAGATGGCGGAATAAAAGCTTCTGGATCAGAAATACCAGCTTTGATGTCATAATATCTGAAAAAATTATAAACAATATAAAGTACTGTATAATTATAAACAATATAAAGTACTGTATAATTATAAACAATATAAAGTACCGAATAATTATAAACATTATAAAGTACTGTATAATTATAAACATTATAAAGTACAGTATAATTATAAACATTATAAAGTACAGTATAATTATAAACAAAAATGTAAAGTAGTAAACAATATAAAGTACAGTATAGTTATAAACAATATAAAATACAGTTCATTATAAACAAGTACAGTATAATTACTAGGAATATAAAGTACGGTTTACATATAAATAATATTAAGTACAGTATATAAATAATATAAAGTACAGTATATAATACATCATGTGGGGCATTCAAGTACATAACGAGATCAGCGACAGTTTATAGTCAGTGGACTTGATCCTTAATACCCCCGTCAGACCGGGGTGGAGTCCTAACTGCGACGCTACGGCAACGGAAAATGGTCACAGAGCGCGTCATGATCGCCATACGCGTGGTAAAAGCGTGGCGGAAACGCTAGATATCGTGCTGTGGTCTCCATGGTCGCCAATGATCGCCGAGTAACGGCGTTTGTTTTAAACATGTTCAAAACAAACGCCAAGGTCTGCGATCTGAACTGGAAAGCTGTAAGAACGCGTCTTTTTTCAAGTTTGTAATTTTTTGGGACATTTTCTCGTGTTGTGTTTACGTTTGCCGGCGACTTTGTGCATTTTCTGGTCGCTGTACGGTCGCGGCAGCGCAGTAGGCAAAGGACGGTACTCCGGTCTGACGGGGGCTTAATGGGAATATCGCAAAATAATGGTGGTTTAGTGAGTTTGATACTGGCTCACACTAACCAGGAGATCCAGTGTTCAGCGTGGGGTGGGGTGGGGGGTTTGCGTGGCCGAATAGTTAACGTCTGCGCATTGTATCATAAGATCTGCCATTTAGTCAAGTGGCATGGTTTCGATTCATCGCTTGTATGCGACAAGGAGTAGGGTCGCCTGTCCAACCTCGTGGGGTTTTCTTTTGGTTCTCCGGTTTCCTTCACTGATAAAGACCCCTACGCGCAAGCGAATTATTGAAATAAAATTAAACCATATGTTAGTCCCGAAATGACCTAGTTTGTATCAATTAGACGTTAAATCCCATTTCTATCTCTCTGGGTTCCATGGGGAGGAAAACCTCCACTCTTTCGAATGGATCGAAAAAGAAACGATGTCCAGTGTTAACTGTAAGTTAAAGACCCACACCTCCACCCCTCCGATCAGTTAGCCTATCGCCATTGTTGGGGTATATGCCCGTCTTCATTGGCCCAAATAGGTATTGGCTTCTAAATTTTACTTACCGAGTATCTTCATAACCGTATGTAGGACTGTCATAACCAAATCTCAGAGGAACACAATCAGGTGTAGATACAATTCCAAAATATCGTCCTGTAGAAATAAATCACATTAATAAATTCATCTTAACTTTAACACAAAATACCGGCATGTAGAATAATGTCATTAAAAACATTTCCTTAACATAAAATACAATTATTATAACAATTCTTATACTCTTACTTTCCTGCTGCAAACCGGGCGCAATGGCATTATTTTGGCTTCAAATGTTATATGGACTATCATTCTGACATTTATTCACATGTCAAGTCTAAAATATACTCTCCAGACCACCGGTTGACCGGGATTTAAATGAGATTTAAAAATGTAACGATGAAATCGATTGTCAGTACCGTTGCTACAGTAATCACCAATCTACGCTACATTTCAAACACTCATAACTTCACTTAGAATAAAGTTATTTGAATGAAGTTTTCAATATATTCATTTTTCATTATCTACTTTTGAACTATACTCTTCAAAAAATGTAGGGGATATTGAAATGCAAATACCTATGCAGGTTGTGATATGATAAATAGTCATGGACACTTGACATGCTTTGAGAGTATGTTCACAGATGAAGAACTTATCGCCCCAACAGAACCACTGAGCTGCATGTGCGACACGCAATATCGCCATACACGTGGAAGGGGTTCATTGTCAAATTTGACACTTCAAGGAAGGATTGATGAAAACTGCCGCTTGCTGGTTTAACCTATCCATGTTAGCTTTCCTATCGGTGCTTGCATAAGGTTTACTGTTTAGCGTATCTTTGCTTTAGTGTGTTATGTTTAATTTGATCGGGAGACGTGTTCGTCGACGTCAACGTTAACCGACAACAATGCAAGAATTGGCCGTGGCACTGCAAGAGGAGTGGGTCAGATTGCCCCAAATCGTGATTGGACGGTTGATTAGGAGCATGCCACGACGAATTGCTGAATGTCTGAGGATTGGTGGAGCAATTACTCATTATTAAGACAAAAATCAAAAACGTCCGTTTTCACTTTTGACAGTGTATCTCTTTGCGAGTGAAATGGGGCCGTCAGATAAGCCGCCCATATGAACTGTTTATGTTCATGTGTAGGCAATTGGCCTGTTATTAACGTACACTGGTTACCTCTAATAAAAACAGCAGTGCATTTCCGCAGTTTTGTATTGTTTCTTAATATCCCCTACTCTTTTTTGAAGAGTATATTATAGCAAGAAGGGCCAGCTCTTGACATAAATATAACTTTCACCTTGATTGGTGTGAATAACTATTATGGTTGATGGCCCCCGGAGCTCCTCGTTTAGTATTGTCATTGACTGTGTGCATTATTCAATTGTCTGTGTTTTGGCGCGCAGTTTCCTAACAGTCTTTATCTAACCTACACAATAGTATAGACCTAAATAAAAACCAAGAGTAATAACTTTACATATCAAAGTGCTCTTAGTTAAATTTACCTCCTTCATAAGATCCTTCAAATATTGCAGCAGTCACGTGTTCATTTGGTAAACCGGCCATACCAATGACAAAAGAATCTGTAAAGTTGGCATTTGATGGTAAACCAATATCTACAAATGGTCTGGTGAAGGCTGTGACATTACATGTTCTGGTTCGAAGGTTCACACGATATTCTTTACGCTGTTGCAAAAAGAAAATTGAAAAATCAGGTATTTTGGGAGATTTAAAACAACAATCTTCTTCCCCTTCGAGGAGACAATCCCAGCCAAACTTACCCCTGAAACGGCGAATCGCGATTCTAGGAAATCATTTCGTGGTTTGTCCAAAAAGAAGAATAACGTCTTGATTAATTTTGTGTTATAACCTAAGAACTCCTTAAGCAATTTTCCCAACTGAAAATCCAGCGCTCGTCAAATGTAGATTGTTATCGGGCGCCATATTATAGGTCTTTTTCAAGATCTTTATGAAACCTTGTACACCCATCAACATCCATTTTGTTTCATTTGTGGCGGTGGTGGTATGGCGGGCGGTGGTATGGTTTGATTTTGATGCTAGAGAGGCTATTAATGTGTGAGAGTTGCTGAAGCAGCTCGCATCCCCTGCTCCAAAGCCCTCTACTCGAAACTTTTCCAATTCGCTTTTTTGGGATTCAATACCTCCCTTCGAAACATCGAGTTTATTTGATCAACCGCAGAGAATTTTAAATGCGAGATATTTAATACTTTACCTCATTGAAGAGTCTAAGAACGTCGTAGAAATCTGTAGTTGAGCCAATTGCAAGTTCCTCCCTTTCACGTACCCGTCGGCTGACAGCATCATAAGCTATTCTAGCGTACTGCGTGAAATTTCTCGACACATCGTACTGAAATATATTGACAATGTTATTGAATATTACAAGCGGATGTGAGTTTTTTAGAACGGGAAATCAAGATTCTGTGTACAAATTTGACAGTCCATTTAAAACAGACCCGCTACTTCCCGGACAAAAGTCTCCCTGCTCGATTTTTTGTTCTTCTTTCCGAAACATTTGATACCTTGTTTTACAAATAATATCTCGTGACTGTGTTAGGTTCGAGTAGATGACCTATTCATCAGGGCATTCACTATTTGTTGTGTTTAGCAGGCCAGGGCGGGCACTGGACAATCGAACAGAATGTCCCGGTTTCGAAGAAAAACAATGTGACCTTTTCCACTCAGTGATTTCGCCCATGGGACTGACAAGGAATGTGTACCGAATAGTTCGGATGGGACGAGTATCAAACTCAAGAGCACGTAAAATAATCCCTGAGAGTTATAAGAAAAGAAGTCGGGGGATGGGGGCATAAAACAAAAAAAGTTATGTATGTCAGTTTCAGAGTTAACATTCTTTAAAAATAAAAATTTAAACGAATTAAAGGATACTTACACGGCTGAATCTACCTTCCCATTGGGATGGGCTGTCTGAAAATAAAGAATCCCAAAAACCAAATTAATACTTAATGCAATTTTTGACCAGAAATTAGTCCCACGCGCGAGTTATCACAATTTAAAG